TACTTTATTGTCTTCTTTTAAATTATATTGGAGAGAATGATGGCCTGATGGATGTAAGAGATTGGCTTTCACTGAGTATCTTTGCTTGAAACAGTGAGCACACTATCACAATGCCAGGCTCAGAGACAGGTACCTGACTGTAGCTTATGAAAAAAACCAAAACCTTGATATTAATGAAATAAATAGACTTTCAACCAAAATCCTTATTTATTGAGAATGCTGTTTACTTAGTAAGAGTCCTGTTAAAATCAAAGGTAGTTTTGCTTCAATAAACATTAAAAACAGAAACCTGATGAATCTATAAGGCTGGCATATTTTCAGTTATGTATGTTTAGTGTGTGTATATATATATATAGTTAATATAAATAATATGTATAAAAAGTGCAGTTTGTTTTATTTTGAGTTATGAATGCCTTTTTTAAAAGTAAGTGTTTTTAGGAGCAGGTAGCCTGAGTGAGAAAGGTCCTCTTAGGGTATCTACACCCAAGGCAGTTCTGCATGCTTCTCCCTACGCAAGTTAACTGCAGACTACACATTTACTGAAGCTTTCTGTTACTGAATCAAGGAATGACATTATGCAAAAGATGTAATCAGTTGACCCCATTTATATTAAATGTGCAGACCAAACTTCTTCATAGCCATGAACTGATTTTCTGGGTAGATCTTTGTGTCTTTGGAGTTGAATGTGAAGTTTCCTCTGGCTTACAGATGCTAAGTCTCCCCAGAATTACCTCAATCTGGTCACCATTTGCGAATACAGTTACTGCAAAAGACTGTCCAGATTTTTTTACATAACTTTGCTGACATCATCAGAAATCATATCTTTTCCTCCACAGAGTTGTTTTTTTATACCAGCAGTTGGCTGTAATATATTTATACAGTGACACGGACACACAGAGCATGATTGCAGAAGGACCTTAACTACCCAGCTCATTCCTCAGTCTAACGTGTTCTTTGAAGATGACTGCTATTTAGGAACCTTTTCTTATCAACACATTTATTCTTATGCATTACAGCTCTCTCAGTATTTTCAGAATTTTGGCTTTTTTTTTTTCCTAACCTCTGCTTGCGTGACAGCAGTATTCAGCAGTGAAGAACTGCATAATTGACTTAATGGACATTTTATAGCCTGTTCATTTCCTGAGGGAATTTCCTAGGTGATAGTCAAGGGCAGTGATATTCCAGGGGGGGTACAGAAATGTCATTTTTCTAATCTTACAGAGCCTAGCATGTAAAATGAGAAAACCTTTCTGAAGAACAATGCAATATATGCATAACCCTTCCAAAAGCCTCCACTTTCTGCCTATATTGAGCTGATAGTATTGTAATTTAGTTGTATGATGTAAATGTAAGCAGGATCCATTGTGACTGATTCTCTTCAACTAGGAATGTATGTGCTATTCAGTTTTTAAAAATTCTTAGTTAAAATGTGTTTTACATTTACTTTCAGTAATAAGAATTTCTTCATGTTTGGTTTGATTTGTTTTGAAAAAGTGCTAAATGTTACTTCTGAGATGACAAATGATGAGAGTCTAGCCAAGTTCCAGGTACTTACAAGAGATGTTTCCTGGATGACTGAAACAGTGTTGACTCACAGATAAAACAGAAACTCCTCTGATTTGCAGTGAGATCTTGCGGGAGCCATGTGAGAATTAGGCAGGGTTCTATTCTCAAATAACAGTACAGGGATACATAAATGTGTGGAAAGCTGACGCTCCTTGAACAAGCAACTGTTTAAGGCTTTGCTTAGGCCTGTATAAAGTTTTTGAAGACTTGGTAAAATTAGAGGTTCAGATTTGCTGTATTTTTTTCTTCCCCAATGGAGATTTTAAACATGAAAGGATTGAGTAACATGCATATATACTGAAACCAGATAGTTTTCTTGATCATTTTGCAATATCTCTGTCACTCTTCATTTCTTTTATTTCTCTCATGCTTTATTGTTCTTCATCAGAAACAGCTGTCTGCTTACGGTATGCAACTTCATATGATTCAGTGTGGAGGACGGTCATAAGGTTTTGTCATGTATAATTAGGAAATCAAAGCAGTTTTCTGAATTCCATCTCAGTCCAGATGTTTTCAAAATAGTTGTCAATTAAAGCCTGTTCAGCAGCAGCACAGCCTTTCCCAGATTTTATGCCTAGGTGTTCAGGTGACTTGTGGGGTGATTGGAGGAGAAAAGGCGGATCTCTGCATCAGTCAGAAATGTAGAAGTAGAAGGGACTACTGTGGTGCATCAAAATTAGTCCTCTGTCACTGTGAGCAATAAATATTTATTTCAAAATTCATAGAGAATGTACTCCTCAAGCTCTTCAAGATGATGCCCAGTGCACAGTAAAAACCCGAAAGCTCAAAGGCCAGAATTGTTCTCAGCACTGGAAAACAACAACACACAGGATATACTAACCTCTGTGTTTATATGGTATTATTCTGTGTAATGTACAAATAGTCCAAACGCTAAGCTCCAGCTGAGGGCAAAAAGGACTCCCAGTGTTTATTACTTTGAACATGCTGGAAAACTACTAGCTGCCAGTCATTATTCAGAGAGTTTAGCGCTGAGTGTGAGCATTGCTTGAGAAAATGTAATGCTGTTAGCAGCATCACGAGGTACTCCATCCACTTTCTGTAAGTGGAACTAGCCTCCAGTGTTAGTAAGAAAGATATCTTTCTTCCTATCTGCCCAAAATTAAATATATGAATCAGATAATTTATTTATTTATTTATTTATTTTTAAATCAGATAGCTGCAGAGGAAGCTTTAATAGGTGAGTTCCCAAGCCATACTTACGAGCAGTGGCTAGATGATCCTTTTTTAAAGAGCAGCAGGCGATAGAGTTGTTTTTCTGTGCAGCTGCAAAAATTGAACATCAGAGTCACCTATGGAGGCATATCAGGAAACAGCTAGACAGACACAGACCTGATGAGGGGGATCCAGAGACATTAGCAGCATTAAATTTAAGAATGAGAGAAAACTGGGCCAGTGAATATACTGATGACATATCTGGAAGTTAATGCCATTTTGTCAACTTCTGGCATTTGATTATTCCTATACATTTCATGCAAAGTTTCAGGTTCTGAATGTCGTGTGGAGACGAGTAAGTCTGTGAGATTGTCATTGTGAATAATTTCTCACCTTGGGTGTGTGAAAAAAACTGTTGACTTAAATGCATGTTAACAGATTAAAGAAGGGCTTTAAAATGTGTTTTCAGGACTTTTAGCACTGTTATGTTATTTTTTGGCAAGGATTGACTCATTTTTAAATATTTATAATATTGATCACAAACACATAATGTCACTGTAGAGGACAATGCTGGTTTCATGCAGAATATGTAGCCATAAAGCTCATTGCTTACAAAATGTTTGCAGTATGGTTCAGATTTTCATAAATCTGTTGAGCACTTTCTGGCACATGGTGTGTCTAAGATAAAAATTGTGCCTTTGGTATGTGACAGAAGTAGCATTTGTTGTAGGAGTCTTTGTAGGAGGAAATTCCTGGGCTGATGGCATGTCAAGGCGGCAGGAAAATGCAGTGGCTAATGGTTAGAGTGTTACACTAAAAGTAATTTTTATATGGTGCACTGTGAGCAGTACAGTAATTGGTGACTTCCAAAGACATTGTAAAGAAAATAACATCTTTAGCTGTGCAAAGCCCCTTTGAAGCAAAAGCTTTGATTCCAGTGGGATGAAATGGAAAAGAAATGGATAATGTTTAGTCTAGTGCTTTATATAATATATAAAAGAAGAATTTACCAATTTTCTACATAAAAAGAATTTCTACAGGGTTGTGTACTAGGGATAGAGATTGCTTAATGTAATAAATAGTCATGACTGTGTGAACAAAGTGGAAGATGAGTCTGAAAATAGCATAAATTGCTTGAGTTTGTTAAGAACAGATAGGAAACTAACAAAAAAAAAAAAAAAAAAAAAGATGGTGAACTAGTAGACTAAGTTCCATTATGACAGATACTGATTTACACTGGAAGGAATTTTTTTTACTGGATCATGGGTATTGCTGAGTTCTACTTATTGGTAATATCAAGTCAGATGTCAAAGTGGTAGCACAGGTGTCAGAGCACAGGGGTTGTGGAGTCTCCTTCAGAAACTGCCTGAGTGTGGGCTGGGGCACCCTGCTGTGGGCACTCCTGCTTTGGCAGCCAGATGAACTCAAGGGGTCCCTGCCAACCTCAGCCCTTCTGGGATCCTGCAAGGATGTCTTTTAATCCTGTATTTCTGAAGGAATCAAGAAAGAATTATAATGATGCAATTAGCTTTAAGTTTCAAGGAATGCTAATATCCTCGTGCATAAAACAGATTACCTGTGGGACTTGCTATCTCACAGGGAAAGCAAGTTTTCATATATGGTTGTTTTCTGTATCATATGAGTACTGGCAATTTTCTGAGGCATCAGACAGGGCAAATCATTTTACTGACCAAAATAATTTTAAGAAAAAGATAAGCTTAGTTCTGTTCATACTGGTGTGTAGGAACTCAGTACGTTTGATAAATTTGAGGAGTGCAGTCAAATATATTGTGTAGATCAATGATGAGGCATGCAACTTGAACGGTTGTAAAATGTATCACCAAAAATGTACAGTAGGTTAATTTACTAGTATAAGACATCCTTAGAGACAAGGGTCTTGTATAAACATTTGCATTTTATCTTCAAATTAAAATCAAAAACCTGAAAAAAAGATGCAGTGTTTGTATTTTTATGCATATGCCTTATAGCTTTCACTTGAAAGTAAGATCCTGCGCCTAAGTAATTAAATCACTGTTCAGTATTTCTGGGAATAAAGAATTATATTGTCCAAACCAGGAATAAGGTAGAAGGGAAGAACAATATTATATGTCATTTTTCCTTTCACCATTACCTTAATTTAGTGTGTATTCTGACTGTTGTGTCCTTTACCCTATTACAAGTAAACTGCATTCTCTCATCCTGTCTGAAATATGTCTTGATCACTAACTTACACTTTTGTTGTTGTTGTTGTTCCTTTCCAGTTTAAGCGAATGCTCAATCGGGAGCTCACTCACCTGTCTGAAATGAGCAGATCAGGCAACCAGGTCTCTGAATACATATCAAACACATTTTTAGGTAAGACAATGATGGGAGTTTTACCTTTTTTGTTGGTTTGTTTTTAAGGCTTTTAAAATTGAGTAGCTTTCCATATTGCTTTCTGTCTTCAGAAAGTGTACATTCAGTATTTCATTGGACAGTATTTGAGCAGAGTACGGTTGATCCATTCCATCACAGCTCATTTAGTTTGTGTGTGTAGTTTCCCTGTGTGTGTAGTGACAAATAAGTATTCATCTACATATTGTCATGTAGCGTTACAGTGATTGCTACCAAATTAAACAATGAATGAGATAAGTATGCAATATATTAAAAATAGTTTTTCCATTCTGTTTCCCTTATGTCCAGAAGGAAGTTAGAGCCAAGCGGTTTCAGTGTGCAGAAAGCAGACAGTCACAAGTAGCCTCATTAAATCTCACAGTTCTGATGCTTTGGTATTCCCTGCCTACATGTGAGAAGGCTGATGAATATGACTAAGTCAACATCTGAGCAGGAGGCTGCCAGGAGAGTTTGTGCAGCTAAAGAGCTTACTCTGTGGGATGCATGCTTCGAAAAAGCCTCATTGCAGTATTACAAAGGCTGTGGTTTCTCCTCTATAGTTGCGCAGATCGCAGTGTGTATATCTTGTTAAAACTGGTGAAAATGAATAAGACTTGGTTCCATACAGCTGATTTTGGGACTTTTTTCTTTGGTCAAAAGAAGTGGGTTTTTTTGTTCAAGTCCACTTTGTGCTGCTTGTCATCGTAATCTGAATGGATTGCTTAATGAGCTGGTTCAGATTATCCATGATTGCAGTAGCATGCCTGAGCACTGCATTGCAGCACAGCAGGATCTCTTACATGAAGGAAGTGATGAGCCTGTATTGTAGTGAATTGCTATTGCACGGCTTCAGGAGTCCTGAAAATGACAGTGTAATGTTGCCTGAGAAGATGACCTACTTAGGCTAACTGAAAAATCTGCATGTCTTTACTTGAAAACTTAAGGCTCATTTTGATGGGATAAGGAAATGTATTTGTCAGCCTTACAGGATACCTCAATCTGGAGCAGAAAGAGTGCTGGAGAGGACATCACTTACAAATTACTGAGCCATGGATATTGTTTTGCAGCTCCATATAAATGAAAACCCATGCTTAAAAATGTAGATGCAAGAGGAATACAATGTGGAAAATAACTCCACTAAATCTTATGCCTAAATAAGATCCTTAAATCTAGTATTCTCAAAATGCGCAGCCTAAATATGTAGATTCTGAGCAACAATTAAAAGAAGGAAAATGTGTATAATTCAAATAATGTATTAAATTATCTACTAAGACAGTAACTTACCTCCTGAACATCTATAGACTCTCACATTTGAGATTTAGGAAGGTGTAATTGGAGGTTTTCACTGATCTTCAGAATGGATGGACTGCAAATACGCCTATATGACATGTATAAAATTGTTTTAATGATAATAAATACATCCCTTGTTGAAGAATTAAAGCTCCTATCTTGAGACTGATAATATCCAAGCTTTATATTTTTCAGTGTAACTAACGTGTTTTCCTGTGAATAGAAAGCATAATACAACCTGTCAAGGAGTATAATATAACCAGGGTCAGAATGGCAAGTTGACTTTTGTGGCTATTCAGATGGTCCTGAGACACTTTACCTCACTGTTAACAAAAACACAGGCAATCCTGTGGAATTCCTTAGCAGATCTAAAGCTGTTCAGACAGTCCCTTCCTTTCACTTGAATTATTCTGACAGCTCAGCTTATGAATCTCCCTTTGATGGGTCTAAGCTTTGTGAATATGACTGAAACCATAAACATCAAAGCATGAACACGAGTCACTGTTCCTCATCTGTTGTCAGTTTGCACCAGTCAATAGCTCCAGTGCTTATCCTCCCCCATTTTTCCTGATTGTCCGTATGCAGAGAGCCAAGTGTGGTGGGGGCAACCCGGGAACTTGGTGCCACAGGCTAAAGCTTGGTGACATTTCTGCAGTCTCTTCTGTGCTCTGATTTGTTTGGAATTTGAGGAGTCCAATAAATGCAAGCTGGTAAAGGGTAATTAAAAAGAGAAATGAAAAGGGGAAAAGTAACATGCTAGAAATTAAGAATTGACCAGCTACCCTCATCTGGCTTCAGAGCCTTTATTGTAGATGACCATTTCAAGAAGAATAAAACAGACATGTATATTTTTAAGAGCCCTGACTTTTTGTTGTTGTTTTTGTTTCTTCTAAGAAATAAAATCCCAGTTTTCCTTCTGGAGTCTCACATTAGAAGTATGTCCCTGATATTTCTGGTTTTGCTGTGAGGTTTCTTAAGGGGTAGAAAAGCTGCAGATACATTTTATCAGATTAGAGATGACTTAGAGGAAGTATTAAAGCACCACATTTAAACACAGCATGAATAAAATGAACAAATATTTGTGTAAAATTCTAGCAGTTTTGGCAGGAAATCCCTCAGTTGCCCTAACTTGGGTTTCATTGGAGACCACAAAGTCTGCAGTGCTCCACATCCCCATGGTGTTTCTGCAATGATCATCTGGCAATAGCCTACATATACTTTACTCTGCCTTTAATCCTTGACAGATTGGTAGAAAGTTCTGCTGGCACATATGTTGATGAGGTATATGAAGTTATGCTAATGATTCTGCAGTAAAAGCAAAAACTCAGTAGAAAATGTGGGTTTTTTTAGCAGAATAGTCCTTTTGCCAGTATTACTGTATTTATAGGTGCTATAAATTGTAACAGAAAAGAACTGCACTGCTGATGTGAGCTGCTTTCCCATGCAAAGCATTTGTTGATATGGCTCTACCAGCAAAAGCCTTTCTGTGTTGTGCAAGGTCTTAGCACAAACAGCCTTCTCACACAGTGTCACAAGTGTCAGGTCCTTGGAGTCCTGAGATGTTTTAGAAAAATTATAAAATATGGTCTTAATTTTTTTTTTTTTTTTCCCCCCCCAGAAAAGAAGGAATTTTAAATTTTATTGGCAAATGAAAATACAGTCTTCTGCTCACCTGTAGTAACCCATTTTAAGTGAAACAACTAACCCTGTGCTGTGGTAGTGCTCAGGGTGCAAGGGAAGTGGAAATAAGACAGTCACAAATCGTATTTGAAGCCAGTTCAGAGATAATGATACAGTTTGTGATGCAGAGTTCTGCTTTACTGATGTTCAGATCTATATTTATCTTGTTTCTTGTTTTTACTGCTCTCAGTGTGAAGTATCTGCTGCAAAATCTACCGTGGCAATTATAAGTTCTGTTAAATTTAATGAATGTTTAATGAAACTTAACAGTGAAGTGGGCAAGAATATTTTTAATTCATTTCAAAAATATTTTTCTTAATTCCTTTGAAGATAAACAACATGAAGTTGAAATCCCTTCTCCAACACAAAAAGAGAAAGAGAAAAAGAAGAGACCAATGTCTCAGATCAGCGGAGTCAAAAAACTGATGCACAGCTCCAGTTTAACCAATTCCAGTATTCCCAGGTTTGGAGTTAAAACAGACCAAGAAGATATTCTTGCTAAGGTAGGGAATATTTAAATATTTGAATTTAAACCACTGAACTAAAAATAGAGAACTTATTCCATCTTATGCTTATAACTGTGATTTCAAGCTGTAGCAGTAAAGGCTGATATAAATCCAGTGAAGCGGAAAAGTAACAAGTGAAATCAGAATCAGGCCTTGAGGGTTGATTTCCACATGAACAGGATTTCAGCAGGAATGTTAGCTGCCTGGAGGTGGGATGTAAATTAGCAGTTGTGGATACAGTAATAATGCTGCATATTCCTAAACAATACCCGAGGAATGAAGAATGAACTGGTATACAGTCAGAGGAATGAAAATATGTAGCAACCATATGTTTTTCAAAAATGCACAACTGTACGTAGCGTTAGAGCTATTGTTGCAGGTCCTGTCATTTGCTCTATCATTTCACGCACATCTGTTTTTAGGGACACTTCCTGTGATTTTGCATCAGTAGCTATATGGCAGTAATGTAAAACTATTATAAAGTGATTATTCATTCAATTTTAGAGGTTTGCTTTTGGAAATATGCCTCTTCGTATGTTCCTGGGAATCCCCCACTTCATACGAATCATCAGTCTATTGCTGAGATGTGGGGAGATGGCAGCAATTCAGCCCCTCCTTGAGCCTACCAGACAATGAGATGGAAAGTGTGTCAGTTTTTTCAAGATACTGTACTATTTCTTCTTCTGTAACACTCCACTTAAAAGTGGCACTCCTTCTTGCTAGTAGGTTAAAATCAGGAAAGGTGGTATTTGCAAATGCAACTATTTCAAGGTTACTAGCTACAACTTTCCCCCTTGCAAAGTTTAGCATATAATATTTGCAGGGGATCTACCAGACAGTAGGCTTTGCATTATCACAGGTCTGCTGTTTGTGTCTGTTTCAACTGACAAATGTTGGAGTCCTGTGTGTTAAGATTTCAGCATTGGCTCTTGCTCAATTCTGTTGTAGGAACTAGAAGATGTGAACAAATGGGGCCTTCAGGTTTTCAGAGTAGCAGAGCTATCTGGAAACAGACCTTTGACAGTCATCATGCACACCGTTCTTCAGGTAAGTAGGAGCAGTCTTGCAGTTTTGTGCTTATCTCAGAAATTTTGCTGGACTTTGAAATCTGAATTGTTTCTCTTCTCCCTTTCTAGGAACGAGATCTGTTAAAAACATTTAAAATTCCAGTGGATACTTTAATAACTTACCTGATGACCCTAGAAGACCACTACCATGCAGATGTAGCATATCACAATAACATACACGCTGCAGATGTTGTTCAGTCAACCCATGTTCTGCTGTCAACCCCAGCATTAGAGGTAAATTATTCTTCAGTGGGAAAGAGACAAACATGAGAGAAAAGGACATACTAGGACTCTGTGCAACTAAATGAAAAAGATTTTAGTTTCTGCAATGTTTTTCAAAAGAAATCTTGACGTTTCTTTCATGAATTACACTCTTTAAAAGATACTTTCTGAGGATCAAGATTTATTTACCAACAAATATTGTACAGAATGTATCACATTTTTCTTAAAATCATGATCTATTACTTGCAGATTTGTGCTGCAGTAACTTTATAACTTGTTCTACTGTCTCATTATTAACTGCCTCCTCTTCCATCATTATTTCACTTTTGGGACTCCCACTAACTACAGTGAAATTGCTTAGAAAAGATGAGGGTAAAGTGGGTTTTGCTCAGTAGAGCCATTTGGTTTCTGTTTTGAATTTGTGCATGCTTGTCCTGGTTCTGGAAGGCTATTTGGCTATTTCTGTGTTTATTCTCAAGCAAATTGAAGCACGTGCTAAATTTTCTCTGGATTATCTAATTTTTTTCATAAAAAAATGTGCTAGCGGTGCAGCCCTTGTTACATCAAGCACTGACATATCCCAGTGAAGTGCTGGAAAAAGGCAGGTAAAGCAAGCAGGTGAAAGAAGGCTTTGTCCTCATTTTCAAAGATCAGCTGGATTTTAATTCCTTTTCATTGCAACCAATCTTTCACATTACTGAATTCCTCTGCTCTACTTTCCTCGTAATGGGAGAGCCATCACTGGATCTTAACACAGTTGGCAAAGATCCTCAAAGTCTCAGGAGTTCTCTTGAGAAAGATTTTCATCATCTCCAAAGGAACATGAGACTATGTTCTTAAATCACTCTGACTTTACTAAACAGCTGAACTGATTGTAAGGTGCTTTTTTTTTTTTTTTTTTTTTTTTTTTTTTTTTTTAATCAGCTGTTTCTTATGGCCTTGCTCTCCAAAGCTTTGGGAAGTAAAATCTGCCCAATGCCATTGCTGACCTATGTATTTCAGTGTTGTTGATCAGTTATGAAAGCCATTATATAACTTGAAAGCTTGTAACAGCAGGAGCATGGATGCAGTAACATAATGGTTCCCTTGCAGTTCTCACTTCCTACCTTCCTGATAATCTCATACAGAATAAAAATCAGTAAATGTTAAGTAAGATATCATAGTAGTTTATCACCATTTCTTCTCACATCACTGAGGAGATGTTCTTTCTCCAAATGCAGGAGTATGTGTTGTTTGTGTAACGTAGGCTGGAATTTTTAGCTTGAATTTCTACTATAAAGCAGAAATCTAAATCTGTAATTAATGATCTAATAAACATGGATTTATTTGCAGACTGAAACTGAAAAACACTTCAGTTATTGTATTTAGTGAAGCTGTCAGTGTGAAATAAGGATAGTTTTACTTTGTCCAACCTCGAAATATTTATGGAATTCTACATGACTGATGATTTACAAAAGGTTTTAGTAACCTATATGTAAAATATATTGAGATTCCTGATGCATTTCAAATGTGTTTTGCTTGTTCAGTCAGATCTAAATTCAAAGTCGAGTTTTTGTTGTTTTTTTTTTAAACTGAAAATAGTTTTTCATTTATTAGTGATTGTCATTTCTGTTTCATGGTTTTCTAGGCTGTGTTCACTGATTTGGAGATTCTTGCAGCAATTTTTGCCAGTGCAATACATGATGTAGATCATCCTGGGGTTTCAAACCAGTTTCTTATCAACACAAGTAAGTTTTCTGTTCAGAGGTTTTGTCAAGATTTTGCAAATCTGCAACTAGCACCTGAAAAATATGCAGTTATTTCCTTGTTTGTTTGCATCTGTACCTTCCTTCATTAAATAGGTAGATGTTTGTATTTAAAACTGGATACTATTTTATATTATCTGTCACTTTAGACATAATGTATGCATAGTACCTACTAGCAAGAATTAAGATAGGAACTATAATTCTGGCACTGTTTCAGTGTATTGGATATTGTCACTTTCCTGGAAGTTAGATAGTTTGTTTAAATTAATTAGATAAAGTGTAGAAGATAAAGGAAGATTAGATAAAATACCAAAAAAAAAAAAAAAAAGAGTGGTTATGTTGGAATCATACATTATGACCAAGAATAGCCATACTTTTTTTAAGAAATATAGAAAATAAGTTTCTTTTTAGAAAAAAAAGATCAGCAAGCCCTCCTCTGCCTCTCCCCAGCTGCTGTACTTATTTTCTCATCTTGGTATGGTCATGCCTCTCAGACTGAATTTTCTCAGCCTACCCCTGCAAACTGTAGCAAATCTTTTTTTTATCCGTCTAGATTGTGCTCCGTGTATGGAGGAAAATAAACTAATGAAATGAGACCCTAATGCCATCTCCAAATTTGTTGTTGTTCTGCATTCTTCATGGCTGTTCTGTGCAGCATTGCATGGACTACTTCCTCTCTTTTATCTTCTGCTTGAAAAGCACTGTGAGTCTCATTGAGTACAGCAGTGGCATATTTACTGAATGGCTTCTCGCCACAGTGTGATTTGCTTTGATTACAGTGTGGGTACCACACTGTAGGTCAGTGCAAGTTCCATTTAAAATATTAGTATATTATTTATTTTGACATCCTTTGTCTTCTCCTTTTAGTGACCTAGAAGTACAAAATTGAAAATAATACTAAATATCCAAGCAATGTAAGAAGAAAAATCTACATAAATGAAAACATATTTAGGGCTGTGTATTTGACCCATGCGGTTTGCACATTCACAGGCACTGTCATTTAGGCACATGGGTGAATCTGTTCCTCTGGTTCTAGAATAGTATGACCTCATATCAACAGGATAGTCTGAAGAAGGGAGATCCTGTTCTGACTCATTGCTGCTGTACATTCAGATAACACCTCCAGTCTAGCCTGCATCTAATTTTATTTGCCTGAATGGCCTGAGGGCTACCCTGTAGTGAAATTCAGATTGGTGACTAATCTACAAGGTGGAGGAGATCCCTGTGTTGGTAACAAGTGCAGTTCAGCAGAGTGGTGCAGAAATGTAGTAAAGGCATTGTGCACGAAACTGTGTGATGTCCAAATTCTTTCATTTTTAATAGAATTGAATATCAGGAGATATCGGTGGCTCTGAGGTGCTATGTGGAAAGTTTTTTTTGGGTAAGATTGCCTAGATGGAGGGACCAGAATTGTTATGTAAAACTCCCCTTTAGGCAGATGGTTGAAATTCAGCTGAATTAGCAGTAATTTTGGTTTAGCAGCTTAGAAGAAATGTCCTGTTCCTCTCAGTTCAGCTTTTGATAGAGAAGGCTTTTATGTAAAACAAGCAGTGTCACCAGCTGGAACTACTGTTGCCAAGCTCAAATGAAACAAAGGGATTTTTGCCACTTGAGTTGTTACATGTATGAAGAAGAAACCATATGAACACAGATAGACCATCTAATTTAGGTTTGTTTAGGTATCTACTAACTAACGTTTTCAATGAGACTTTGAGAATCAGTGACTATATGGATTATACACGTACAAAATTTCTCAAATCTGAGATTTTCCTAACCTCCAGAAGATCATTTTCTTCCACTTAGGTTTTCCAATGAAACTTAGAAAGTATTAGCATTTCACTAACAATTGTGCAAATACTTACGCTTAACTGATCTTCAGTTACCTTAATTATGTATTTATTTCCATATTTCCCATTATTCTTTATAATTATTTATATGTGATATTTCTAAGTATTGCTTCCCTTTTTCAAAATTTAAGGTCTATTTACAAAGTTGTCCAAAAATATGATCCCTCAGAAATACTATTAAAATGTAAACAGATATGGATTGTGTTAGTGACAGGGTAGATACCTATTTGATCATTTTAAGCTTGCCCTTTCAGACAAATAGTCTTTAAGCTTATAGTGTGCTACAGAGTTTACCAACAAGATGAACTTTCTTCCATTTCCACCTTCATTACATAGTTAAACATGTTTTAGCTCAGTCTGTAATTCCAGCCCTTCAGTAGATCAGCAGTGGATGCTATTTGAAAGGAAGATAAACCACTACTTGTCCTCTTTGTAAGAAAAATGACAAGTAGGCGAGCTATATAAGTATTCTATGAAAGAGATACGATTTGACAAATTTGCTTTCTTTTTCCTTTTGCTATTACATTTTTGCTACCATCAAGATAAGGAAAGGTAGAGGAAGATTTTCCCAATTTATGAGATCAATAGGTTCAGGACAAGTGAGGAAGACAGCAGGAGAATACATAATGAAACTAATGAAATCTAAGGAGCAGGGCTTTTATAGGCACCCCACTGAGCCAGAGGAATTTTGAAACAAAACTGCGATAAAGGATGATAAAGAGACAGAGTTTAGAAAAGACTTGCATATGGTTAGATTTCAGATAGAACAGCTGTAATAAATAGAAATTAATGTCAGCACTTCACAAGCGTGGTTGTATAAAAAGTATGTCTTTTTGATGATAGATTCATTTTCAAGCTGTGTCTTAAAACAAATGCAAGTTGGCTGTGTGGTGTCCCTGTGTGAAATCTAAATCTGTGTAGAAAATTGTCTTAACTGCCTTTATTTGTCAAAGCTGACTGTTCAGACTGTTTGTATGTGCCTCAGTACAAGCAGTGCTAAGAAGGGGTATGAGCTCCACTTACTCCTGCAACTACCTGGAGTGACTGACTGAAGAACACTTCTGTTAGAGATAGCAGCATTTTGGCATCAGGAGTTAATCATACTCAAACACGAGACAGTAGACAAGGCCACTGCTTGCATTTTCAAACCACACAGAAATGTATGACTGTCCCGTGAGCCTCCTCTATAGATGTCCTGTTCTCGTAGACTAAGACCCCTAGGCCTTCTTCTGTGAGTGTCTTAGATAACTGCAGAAGTACACTGAAAACCAAGATACATGCTCTTTGCTTGATCTGCAGCAAAGCTTCAGCTGTGTATTCCCAGATCTGAGTAGCTGATAGATACAACTTCACTTGAATTTTAGCACACACATGGTGGCAACAAAGACAGGACTAGAATAAAAAACATTAGAATGTGTTTTAGTTTATGCATTTTTGTGTAATATTTTCCATATTGTTTCATGTGTATATGAAAAGGTATTCTGAAAAACATCTTCCTTGTGTTGTTTTCTAACTCACCATTCCAGCACACTGCACTGCAAGGCTGGCTTTTTTCCAGCATACTTTTCCTTGATTTGTTAAGATATTCAGTTAATTCTGAAGTTTTGGTCCTGTGGGAACTACAGGAAGTCTGTTACTGAAAGCTCATCTGTAAATCTTGTTAGGACTGTAATGAGTTTGAAAAATCATAAGGGATTTAGTGGAAATACAGGTTTTAGTAACGTTCTACCCTATGACTGTTATTGCAGATTCTGAACTTGCCTTGATGTACAATGACTCATCAGTACTGGAGAATCATCACTTAGCTGTGGGTTTCAAGTTGCTACAGGAAGAAAATTGTGACATTTTCCAGAATTTGACCAAAAAACAGAGGCAGTCATTGAGGAAAATGGTCATTGACATTGTGAGTTCTGCTTTAGAGTCTTTTTTCCTTAGGGCCAGTGAAATAAATTGTAAAACAAGGTTATTTTACACGTTGTTAGATCCATCATCAATGAAATAAAAATTTGAAGTTTTATTCTGTGTTGTCCAAACATAAGCAGTGAGTTATTCTCAATTTCAATTACTGACTCTATATTTTTAGAAGGTACACAGTCCTGGTTCAAGCTGTTTCATAGTTGATGTCTAAGTCTGCTATTACACAATCATAGTTAGAAATTTTCTACTGAATTGATGATGGACACTAGTGGCACATGGGACTCAGACTTCTGTAGTATATTCAGATTCAGATACAGAAGTTACATTTTTTTCCCTGAGAATAGTTTGTTGCTGCATCCAAAGGTTTTTTTTAAAGTCAGTAGAATAATTTACCTAATACTCATTTATCCTTTCTTTCTCTTTTATTGTTTATTTGAAGGTCCTTGCTACAGACATGTCTAAGCATATGAATCTTTTGGCTGATTTAAAAACTATGGTTGAAACCAAAAAAGTGACAAGTTCTGGTGTCCTGCTTCTTGATAACTATTCAGATAGGATTCAGGTAAGAAAACTCATCTTCAAATAGTCATTCATATTAACTTCTGTTAATAACTTTTGCCTACCAAACCCCCAGCTGGGGTCCATTTCCACACATTTTATGTCTCATTCTTTTCCCTCTTTTGACTTACATGTTTCTTACATGTGATGTATTCCACTACATACTGAGTAATAAGGTAGAAAAGTACTTCTGGACTGGTTTTGGTTTTGCCCTACCGTTCAAATTATCAACATCTCATTGGTCTTTCTCTGAAATATTTTCTGTCTCTTACATAGGCAGAAGAAGCAGAAGTGAGGTAATTCATAGCTATTACTGCAAGTGTGAAAAACATCCAAATACTGAGTTTTGCTGTTCAGAATAGATCTTGCACTACATGTATTTTCATGATTCTGCCTCACAGCCACCAAATGTGTAAATGGAAAAGGAACTGTTTTTCTTTAGTGTAATAACACAGCAGGTGTTCAATCTATTTTAGGTTCTTCAGAATATGGTGCACTGTGCAGATCTCAGCAATCCAACCAAGCCACTCCATCTCTACCGCCAATGGACAGACAGAATAATGGAGGAATTCTTCCGCCAAGGAGATCGGGAAAGAGAGAGAGGAATGGAGATAAGTCCCATGTGTGATAAGCACAATGCATCTGTAGAAAAATCACAGGTAATTGATTTGGTATTCTTTTCTTGGGAAAAGAATGTCCAGGGCCATTCTTTATATTTTGATATATTTCTGAATGCAGTATTTCTTCCCCTCTCTCCCCCCACTTCTCCCCAGAGTTAATTAATTCAGCTCCTGTGTAGCAAGTGAGAGGAGCTGAGGTTCTTACTGTGGAAACAGTGCATAGCAGTGTGCTTGCTGAAGGAATTCCATCACTGTCGTGATCTGCAATGAAGCACTGGCTTCAGTAAAGAATATTTTATAGCTGCTCATTTAGGGTTTCTTCCAAAAGCAGAATTAAATATAAAACAGCTGTTTGGCTTGCAAAGTGCAGTAGAATCATTTGCAAAGAACAATTACTGTGAAAACATATCCTTTCCAAGTCTATATTCAGAATTATGAATGAGGCATCTGAAATGGTAAAAGATCCTGATCTCCGCATAGAACAGCATGGGTTACTTTCAGACACCTTAAGAGCAGTGTGTCTAGTGTCTCTTACTAGAGTTATCTTTCTCAGACATTATAAATATCCAAAGCTTCTATGCAGTAAATAGATTAAATGACTGTCTTATATGCATGGTTTATTATTTCTTTGTGAATAAGATCTCATCCTGATTTTGTACTACTTGAAACAGGTGGGCTTTATTGACTACATTGTTCATCCTCTGTGGGAGACATGGGCAGATCTTGTTCACCCGGATGCCCAGGATATCTTAGATACACTGGAGGACAATCGAGAATGGTACCAGAGCACAATCCCTCAGAGTCCCTCTCCTGCACCCGATGACCAGGAGGAGAGTAGAAAGGGCCAGACTGAAAAATTCCAGTTTGAACTAACACTGGAGGAAGATGGTGAGTCAGATACCGAAAAGGACAGTGGAAGTCAAGTAGAAGAAGACACCAGCTGCAGCGACTCAAAGACCCTTTGCACCCAGGATTCAGAATCTACCGAAATTCCTCTTGATGAGCAAGTAGGGGAAGAAGTAGAAGAGGAGGAGAATCAGGCAGAAGCTTGTGTAGTAGACCATTCTTCTGACACATAACAATGAGGACATAGCTCATTTCTTTCTTGCCCCCTCCCTTTTTCTTCTTTCTCTCTCTCTCTCTCTATCTCTGTTTGTGTGTGTGTGTGTTTTTGTTTGTTTGTTTTTGTTGTTGTTGTTGTTGTTGTTGTTGTTGTTGTTTTTTAAATTAGGTAATGGTTTCTAAAGTGTATGTCATGTGCTATCACCATGATCACAACTCACTGTCATCAGCCAGGATGTTTGTTGAGCAAAACTGACCTTGGTGACTCAGTTTGGCACTCAGGAATATTGTGACCAGAATCTTCACCTTCATTGCATCAGAAAGCAGGGGAGTGAACATCGATAAACTACGTTTTAATAAGCTCTCAATTTCGCAAATTTGATTAAATAAAGCAAATGTTTTCACAGGAGCACCACCTGAATGCTGGTATGCTTTGGTAGTTTTTGATTTTATTTTACTTCACAAGTTAAGCATTGGATAATGTTCATCATCAGAGGAAACAGACAGAAAATAAACTGAGGTTCTTGCTGGAAAACAAATGCACACAAACGATGGGATACAACATGAATCTGTGTAAGACGAATGTGTCACCAACAGGAAGATGAGCTGTGGAAATCACATGATTTTCTAATTTGAAGTCTTCCTGATAAGTGACTGAAAAGAGTGTGACACGGTGGGTTGCACTAAACTTTGCATTTTGTATAATATGTAAAAGTGTTCTTTTGTAGAGCTAACTTTTATTATTAAGTGTACTGAGGTATTATATTTAAACAAGAACGCTTTCAGATTTCATCACATTTTTTTTCCAAAGAGTAACTTGCAAGTTTTCAGTACAAATCTGTGCTACACTGGATAATACTTCTAGAGGTTTTTTTTTTTCCTTATTATTTTGCACCTTAGAATTTCATTATAATATTAAGTTGTAAGAGTTTATTATTTTATATATTAATGAGTTCCATGAATATCCCTTATGCTACCTAAAACTCATTCAGTGTGATGGCATTTTTTTTTGTTGTTTTCATTATAATATTCCCAAACATATTAGAGGAAGTTTTGCTGTTGTTCTGATAGTGGTCTGATCCTGGCAATTCTGTCATACTACCAAAAGTGGTCCTGTTGATACCAGCTGGACTATTAAGATTAATGTTTGCAGGAGCAGAGCCAGTAAGAAAGATAATGAATTGTCTTTTTGATATGAAGACTGCTCTTCTGTCTCTCTGAAACACAATTTTCAGATATTGTTTTGCCTGGGAACTGTAGACTGCCAAGTCAGCACAGGCTAATACAGTGTTTGGGATATTTATTTTGGCAAAGGAAGCATTACTGTAATGTTTCCAATTCTGACTCTTTGTATTTTTTTTGTCTGTTTGTCTGTTGAGCTATCTAATTCAAACCATTCGCTAATCTCTGACATACATACAACATAGAAATCGTGATTAGCATTACTGTTTCCATGTTTTTATTGCCAGAATAGCCAGATTCCTCTTTTGTGTTAATACTTCAAAGTAAATGAGCAATGCATTATGAGAAGAGGGGTAGTTTACTCTACATTATTATTATCTCAGATCTTTTCATTCTGTATAGAGCTTGTGCTGAGGGAATCCTACTTTCAAGTCTGATTGGTAATGAAAGCTTTTGTTATTTGGAAAACTCAGTGAAGTTAGGAGCTCATATTTGTCATTTTCCTGACCTTTTGGGTCACATGTAACAAAATAATTTCATCTGCACTGCTTTGCACTTCATTAAAATTGTAGTTTTGACTAGGGAAAGAGTTGTCTGGAGAAGAAGCAGACTCCCACAGTATCAAGATAGAAGGCTCCAGAGGGACCTCATTGTGGCCTTCCAGTACTTGAAGGGAGTGTATAAACAGGAGGGGGTACAGCTGTTTAAAAGAGTGGATGGTGATAGGACAAGGGAGAACGGTTTCAAACTGAGACGGGGTTTAGGTTAGATCTTAGGAGGAAGTTTTTCACACAGAGGGTGGTGACACACTGGAACAGGTTGCCCAAGGAGGCTGTGGATGCCCCGTCCCTGGAGGCATTCAAGGCCAGGCTGGATGTGGCTCTGGGCAGCCTGATCTAGTGGATGGCAACCCTGCCCACAGCAGGGGGGTTGAAACTAGATGACCATTGTGGTCCCTTTCAACCCAGGCCATTCTATGATTTTCTGATATTATGATTCAAGATTATTTCTTAACAAAAGAAAATATTATCAACAATTATTTCCAGTTTGGATTCATTTCCTAGGAAAATTGCATGATATGAACACAAGTAGTTTTTGTTGTTGTTGTTGTTTTAAGTGTCTGAGGTCTAGAATAAGAACTTGTTTAAAAAGTATTGAGTAGTCGTTCAGCTTTTAAATGTGTTTTGCATTCTCCTTTATCCAGGTCAAAGTTTTCTCTACTTTAGCCCTCACAGGGCTTTAGCACAGATGATGCTGAAGGAGGAAAGAGAATGAAGAGAACTCATGTTTTTTCATGTTTTGACTTTTTTGTTCTTCATCATTTTTTCCTGATCCACCTAAAAGTCTTCTCGATCCCCAAGAGTGCCTGGAGCTTTAATAACGGAAAAGCAATATAAATTCCAAAATAACCAGTAAAACCTGAAAAGGTTTTGTATCTGCACAAATTGAAAATAAATGAAGAGAATAACACCATATTGAGATATATACCCATACATATGGACAATCACATAATGGAAAATGATATCATTTCTTAGAGATGGGGATATAACGCACTGTACAATCTTTTTTTTTTCCTCTTTTGCCAAAGTGTGTTTTAGCATTGCGCACTGCTTTAAAACAATACAATTTACAAGTGGCTTTATGTATTCTAAATATTTTTGCCATAAGAAAATGCAGTGAGTTGGGTATTGAGTGCAGCAGCGGGGGGTGGGGGGTAAGAAAATTCATATTGCTTATAACAGTACGCTTTAGCTTGCAAGTTACTGTACTCAATAATGCTGTGTTTGAATTTTTAATTGTTTTGTGTCATTGTTAAAAATTATGATGAAAGGATATAGATAGAACAAACAGCATTCAGAAGTTTAAAAAAACTTGAATGAAATGGATTTTACAGAAAGCTTTGACAATTCTCTTAAAATGCATTATTTATTTTATTTGTGCCATAGATTTTTCTCACCAAATGACCTTACCTGTAATACAGTCTTATTTGTCTCTGTTTACAACTGTGTATTTATTGTAATGTACATACTGTAATGTTAATTGTAAATTATCTGTTCTTATGATAACATCATCCTTGTCTGGGTGGTGTTGCTCTATTTGGAAACTCTTGGTGAGAGAATGATTATTGTGGATACATATTTCTTGTACATTTTTTTCTCCTGTAATATATTCTGTGTCACCTTAGAGCTTGTTTATGGAAGATTCAAGAAAAGTATAAAGTACGTGAAGATATATCAATAAAATTAAAAAAAAAAAAAAAAAAAAAAAAAAAAAGCTGCAGGTCTTTGGTCCCAGGGCTGTGCCTTAACTTCAAAGAATATTTTTTTCTGTTTTGCTGCATTTGAAAGTAAGGTAGCTTTGGGGATAGGGCTGGGCATATCTACCATATTTTTAGTTGCTAGCTGATGTGGTTACTTGTGCGAGCTAGTTTGCATGATACTACAGAGAGCTTTCATTCATAAACATGCTGGAAGTTGAAGCTTTTCCAGACTTCTGGCAATATAATTGTATTGCCTCTCTGATTATCTTTTTACAGGCTATCATCAGGGATTATTGCAGCCATTACTTGCTACTAAAAAAACATTGATGCTGTATTTCAGTACTGAATTATGCTGAACAAGCTTTGGAAAGCATCTCTAATAAGCATTTGGTTTTAGTGCATATTTGCAAATGAAACAAATGGAACTAAATGGGGATAGCTCATATAGTTGTTTTTTTTTAATGATCATCTAATACTCTTTATTTAGTAGCACAAATTAGCACTATATAAGCAGAATCAATAAAGTAGGACAAAAGACAGCTTCAATCTTGGAAATGCTTTCCAACACTAATATTAGTGTTACAAGCAGCCAAAGCTTTCATTTTGTATAGATGTATGTAAGGCTTTGTACAGGTGTGTATAGCATAATGCACTAGATCTATAGGAGAATGATAGGCCTCTAGATCTTTTAATAACACTAGTATTAGGTTTGCAAGCTGGACTCTGAGCATCTCTTGCTGTTTGAGTATCACATTGTTCCAAACTGCGTAGGACTGATAGCAATGGATTTGCCAGAGCAAGGTAAATACCTCTCCTCATTCCAGTGATGCCCAGCCCCTGTAGCATGCGACCTTTTGTTAAAAGGAGTGATTCTTTTTCAAGTGAAAACAGAGCCTCCTTTTAGACACAAACTGTAGATTTTAGCAGCCCTGGCCCAAAGGAAATGGATTGCTTTTGTTTTAACATTATAAAAGGGACACTATAACAACAAAAATCCTGAACAACTTTTTGTTATTAATTTGGGGATGTCTTGAGAGTGGCAACTTGTGTGAACATTGCACATGACAATTCTTTCACTGGTTTCTTAGCCTCTCTTTCAGCCTATGGGATAGTACTGTACATCAATACCTTCATATGAAATTTTTATATGCAATGGAAATAAAGCATGTGTTGATTCTGCCTAGTTACCGTATTTGATTTCCTTTTGCAAGTTTTTTTTTTTTTTTTTCCTACTTACGTATCATAGCTGTGACATCTCAAGAAAAAGCATTTGTCGGAATAATTATATTGCAGTATTTTTCTTCATCATACTATATTATGGGTAGATAATAAAAAATAAATGTGGGCGTTTATCACATGGGATGAGTCACTCAAATGTGATAGTTCATGAAGTCTAGTCCAGAGAAGAGCTATGCAGTTTTCTAGAAAAGCATTCAATCTCAATTTTCATGAAATTTTACTACTTACTTTAGTTGCAGGAGAAGCATATCTCAAGAAAATTAAGTTAAGCGTTAGCTGTAAAGGAGCTAGGTGGGTAGGGATTGCCTAGAGAAGCAATACTCTGCAATAGAAGTAAAGTGGCCAGAAAAAAGGGAGCATATTGTAATTAAATATTGACCAGACAATCTCTGCTCTACATGAATAAAAAGATTTTTAAATTCGTTTCATAAATGGCAGCTCTTGTCCTGAAGAAAAAATACTGCAGAGCCATCATTCCTAATGTTCTTGAAGTGGTTTTCATAAGCCTTCCCTCGACCAGAGTGATTTCTGGGCGTGGAGATTTTTTGCTTAATCGAAAATACAATGGCTGCTCTGAAAGTAATGCATTTATTTTATGATGTTGGCCCATGATGTCAGAGGCAGATGTTGGTGGTATGGCAGTACAGGTTGAACCTTCCAACCAGTATTCTATTAACATGTTGTTGCTGTGTGACAGACGGTTGCAAAGGGGCAGTCTGATAAAATGGTGTCTGACATGGAAGTGCACATGGAGCAAACGTTTGTCATTTAATTCCTCCATGTGGATTAAATGGCATCCACTGACATTCACTGATGCTTGCTGAACATTTATGGGGCCCAAACAGTGGAGGTGAACGCAGTAAGGTGGGTAGGTGGTGCATTTCAGTGGTGGCAACCGTTACAGATTTTGTTGGGTGTGGCATACAGGCTGACGTTCATAGCTGGTGAAAAGACATAGCTCATGGTGGTGGCTGTGTTGGAAAATAGTGTTTTATAGCTGAGAATTTTCCCTATCAAATAGTGTTATTGGGCTCTTTGTTGTAGTTTCCACAGAAATAATGAGATATTACTTTCAGAGCAACCTATGGACTTTCGAATTAATAATTTAAAAAATTCTTATCCCCATTCTTGAGACTCCTAGATCCTCCCTTAGATTTGGAGTTAGTCTGCAAGGAGTGCAGCTGTTAGAACTCCTTTTGAACCATATTTGGTTGGCAGAGGAGGCTGTTGATCTGGGCTGAGAAGAGGAAGGAATTCCATAGAGTGTCACGGGGCAGGTAAAACAGGCTGTGCTCCTCATCCATGCCTTGACTGTCCTCACACATTCCCAGCATCCCCTATAGGAAAATGCATAGAGCATGGCCAATATATGTCAGGGAAGAAGGAACCCAAAATTCCTGCTATTGAAATCTCTTCAGTCAGGAGCTTGGATAGCACACATCGTGCAGGTGAGAGCCTGAAGTTGGCAGGGCAAGCCCACTGCTTCCCTCATCACACTGCCTCTGACCTTGTGTGTGGCAGTAGTAATGCTTCAGATGGACAGGCAAGAGCATAACCAAAAGGGATCTCCTGCTTCCCTGCAGGTCAGCTATGGCTATGGGACCTGAATGTATTTTTGAACTTGTGACTTCTCTGTTTTCTAGGGAGAGAAACTGGCTGAAGAGCTGCAGCATTATTTGCTCATCTTCTGCTGCACTGAAAGCAGAAGTCACAGATGTTATCAAAATCTTCATTTTAGTTTAGCCTACAAGGTAAAGAAAATGTCCAGCTTGCTTCAGTCATTCTGGTTGAGAGACCTGCAAAAGTAATAAAGGAGAATAGGATGTTCAAAGAGCAGAGATCTGAGTGACAAATTTGGAGAAAAACCTGGGAAGAGACAAATATGTTCAAACTAAAATCATCCCATCAAAAGTGATCCTGTCGCTTGGACATGGACATGTTGGAACTGAGTTTGACTTTATTTATCTCAGTTCCCCAGGCACAAAGCTGTTTTTTTTTTCTTCTCACAAAAGAAGTATGTTGAGGTCATTGGAGCTATTGTGGTAATAAGAACTATGTGAGTGTTTCACAGACATCCAGAAAGTCAAAAATTATTCTGATATAATACAATTTAGCAGAGGTTTAAAGTCTAAAAACATGAAATTTTTAGTGCAAGTGTGCAGATGAGCCGTTAGCACTGAAAGGAGAAGAGTGACTACACAATTGGATACACAGCCCACAGTGAGAGCAACAGATGCTAAGTGCAGCTCTGTCCTGCTCTAATAGCATAGTGCTGACAAGTTGTACAGATGGCAAATGATGATCAGAAGGTTCCACATTGCAAGGTTGCCTCCAAGCATTAAAACTCTAGCCTCCACCAATCTTACCCAGTGCCCTCCACTGGGGCTGCGGAGTCAGATGACTATGATGGCAGCAGAACCATTTCTTACCTGAAGAAGCCTGGAAAAGAAAATGCAGGTTATGTAATACATAGTGTATGTGCTATATGGACATGTGTTGTATATGCAGGGGACATGGCATACAGCAAGTGCCTGTGGGCCATTGCTACATAAGTCTAGACAGAGACAGCTAAAGGTGGTTTAAAAGCATCAGTACCTTTTGATAGCTGAAACTCTACAGAAACAGTACACCAAATCTCTTACAGACTTATTTGGACTGACCAAACCAAGAGCTGTGTGTTACCCACTGCATTCTCAGACCATGTTTGGTGCTCTATGCTGCTGCCAGGGGCAGACTCCTGAGCCATGGTGCTGGCTGAAGCCCCATCCCATAGCTATCTCCACTTTGATACAAGGTACACTTGAATACAGAGACACTGGGTCATGTCCCTCCTCTGATGATGTAGAGCTGCACACACAGCTGGCTGTGCACCTACAGCTAGGCACTCCTCTTCTGACACCTGTGTTGTGAAAGTGGTGCGGTCGACACAGTTGAAGGAAGGGATGCCATTCAGAGGGAACTTGAGAGGCTAGAAAGGTGGGCACGGGTGAACCTGATGAGGTTTAACATGACAAAGTGCAGAGTTTTGCACTTGGACCAGAGGAATCCCAGGCATCCATACAGACTGGAAGGAGAGGTCCTTGAGAGCAGCCTTGCAGAGAAGGACCTGGGGGTCTTGATAGATGAAAAACTTAACATGAGCCAGCAGTGTACTCTTGCAGCTCGGAAGGCAAATGGTATCCTGGGCTCCATCAAAAGAGGGGTGGCCAGCAGGAACAGGGAGGTGACTGTCCCCCTCTACTCTGCTCTTGTGAGGCCCCGTCTGGAGTACTGCGTCCAAGTGTGGAGCCTCCACTACAAAAAAGACAGGGAGCTGTTGGAGAGGGTCCAGAGGAGGGCCACAAAGATGATCAGGGGACTGGAGCATCTCTCCTGTGAGGACAGTCTGAAGGAGCTGGGCTTGTTCAGCCTGGAGAAAAGAAGGCTGCGGGGTGACCTCATTGCAGCATTTCAGTACCTAAAGGGAGCCTATGAACAGGAGGGAAGTCAACTCTTTGAAATGGTTGATAACTGCAGGATGAGGGGAAATGATTTTAAGTTGAGGGAGGGAAGATTTAGGTTGGATGTCAGGGGGAAATTCTTTACAGAGAGAGTGGTGAGGTGCTGGAACAGGCTGCCCAGAGAGGTTGTGGATGCTCCGTCCCTGGAGGTGTTCAAGGCCAGATTGGATGGGGCCCTGGGCAGCCTGGTCTAGTATTAGGTGGGAAGGTTGGTGGCCCTGCATGTGGCAGGGGGGTTGGAGATTCATGATCCTTGAGGTCCCTTCCAAC